TCGTCATTCACCGCCATCCCCAAGGGTCCCACCTTSGCCCTTTACTCTCCCACTCCTTGCACAGGCCTTAGCCACTCACTCTGGTCCCAGGACTGTCCCTCCCCCTTGCCCTCAGGAGACCCAGCCTCTTAGTAAATCGTTTTCATGAGTTCCTTCAACTTGTCCCTTCATAAAACTTCCCCTCCTCTCACATAACCAGCCTCTTACTCGTCCATTGATCCCTAGTTTCTTCACCCTGCTACCCTGCCTTCCCACTCATTAGCCCCTCACCACCTGCCAACCCCTCGCCCTGTCCCCTCACAACCAATAGTCACCAAATTCGGTGCCATCATTCCCCAGTCCCTCATTCCCTCATGCGACTCTTTGGGCCCTCCGGTCTGCGTATACTCTTCACTCACACAACGCCGACTCCGGCCAGGCCCTGTCGGCGCGGCGGTACTAGGTGAGTTCAGGCCGCCGCCATCGTTCCTCAGGCGCACTAGCCGCGCCCCGCCCCGCGCCACACGCATCCCGCGCCCCCGCGCACCACACGTAACCGCCCAGCGACGCACAACTGGGCAATGGCGTGCCAGCTCATTGGCTGGGCTCTGCCAAAAACAGAGCGTTGACTCTTGTTTCCTGGCAACGGTCGAACGCAGGGGCGGGGAGGCAGACGACGTTCCGAGGAAGGAGTGCCGCTTGTCTTCCAGGTCCCGCCCCTTCGCACTGTAAACCCCGCCCCTCAGAAGGACTCCAGCATATCATAGGGGCAGACCTCCGGAGAGGTGCAGGACAGGGGCGGAGCCTGGGAAGGAAAGGTCGAACCAGAGGGCAGAAGGCAGGACCCAAGGAGTGACAGGACTTTTAGGGGCAGGGAAAAGACCAGCAAGGCGGGATTTAGGAGTGGGATGGGCTGGAAAAGACTAGGGCCAAGAAGCATAGCCACGGATACCGGGAGGTGCTTAGAGTGAACAAGTGGGCGTGGAAGGGCGTGACTAGTCCTAAAGGTTAGGCCTGGGGGAGGAGTCAGTAGGTGGGCGGGACCTGTGAAAAGCGAACCCCTGGAGAATGCTGACTGCAAAGGAACTAGATCATTTTACCACCTCTGCCAGTCACCCACAACACCTATGCATTGTGTTGCTCGGTGACCCTTTGGGTGCTGTTTCAGTCAGCCAAGGAACATGAAATAAGTGCCTACATGTCAAGCTGGATTCCAGATCCATTAGAACAGATCTCTGCCCTCCAGGACCTCAGACCCTTAACTAGACAAACTATCGCAAAGTAGTGCGAAAAGTGCTATATTCAAAGAAACATCTGGGGCAGCACTTATCATGATGATTTGGGTATGCAGAGGATGGGCGGAAGGAAGGGTGAAAGGGCTTAGGGAAGACTTCCAGTAGGAGATATTGAGCTGAGTCTTGCGAAACAAGAAAAACTTAAGAGAAGCTGAAGTTTCAAATCAAGTCTGTAGTTTAAAACATTGTGCCAATGTTAATTATCTGGTTTTGATCATTTTTCTAGATTTCTGTAAGATGATGACATTAGGGGAATGTGGATAAGGAGTTACAACGTTCTGTATTATTTTTGCATCTTTTCTAATACTCTGACATTAGTTCAAAATTAAAGGTCTTTCAAAGGAAAAAAAAAAAAGAAGAAGAAGAAGAAATGGAAGTTTGGTCTTTCAACCAAAAGGAACAGCATATACCCAGGCAAGGCAGAATAGAGAAGTGGAAGGTGTTCTAAACAATCAGTACAGTGTGTCCAGAGCCTAGGCAACATGCAGAGGAAAGGTTAAATGAGGTTAAAGACAGGAATAAATGTGAGGTACAGGAGAGTTTTACAGGCCCTGTGGAAATTTTGATTTTTATCCTTGGGACAATAGAGAGTTAAACACAGATTATATATATATATATATATATATATATATATATATATATATATATATATATAAAACATATAGATATATGGTCAGATTGATAGTAAGGGAATCTTTGTAAAAGGTCAGTCAAGAGCTAATAAGGCCCAAAGTAGTGTGATAAGAATCCAGAGTAGTGGACATGTGGACATTAGAAAAGCTTGATGAGAGAGCTGGGGTTGTGGATCAGTGGTAGAGTACTTGCTCCCACATGTGAGGCATTGGTTCTGGTCCTCAGCGCCACATAAAAAAACAAATAAAATGAAAGTATTGTGTTCCATCTACAACTAAAAAGATTTTTTAAAAAGACAAGTTGATGATTAGGTTCATCTGAAAGGAAGGAAGAAGGATTAAATACTGATAGATTATATAAATTCAAAACTAGGTAAAACTTAGCTAAGGTATAAAAAGTCAGGGTAATAAATAGCCTTGGAAAAGTATTGATTAGAAGTGGACAAACTATGACTCCTGAGATTAGTGATGTTCTTGATCTAAGTGCTAGTTACTTGGTTGTGTTCACATTGTGAAAACTTATCAAGCTATATCCTTAGGAAATGTGCACTTTTCTATATGTTTATTTGTTGTAGCTACTATGCTGGGCAATGAACCACCCAAAGCTTAGTGTCATAAAACAGTAGCCATTTTATTATGCTTACAGAAACTGAGAATTCTAATAAAACATGGCAGGAATGGCTTGTATCTGCTCTATGCTGTCTGTAGCCTCATCTAGAAGTCCAAATGCCTGAAGCTGACTTGAGGCTGGTGGCTGGAATTATCTAGAGTTTTTATCAGTCACATGTGTAATGCCTGGGCTGGGACAATTTAAAGGCTGGACTCAACTGGCACTATCAAGCACAGCTTCTTACAATGTGATAATTGGGTTCCAAGAGAGAGATTTCTGAGAGGAAGCTACCAAACAACAAGTATTTCAAAAGATCCAGAAAGCAGTCACATGACTTTTTATTATCTAACCTCAGAAGTCACACCCCATACTCTTGCTATACTCCCTCAGTTGAAATAATCTCCAGAGAGCATTGTGAAAGAATTTGTGGCCATTTTTCAACTGCCCTTGTACAATGTATTACAATAATAATAATAAATAATTGTTCTAGGTCTTTGGCTTAAAGGACAAAGAGATAGGGATTATAGGGGAAAGAGTAAATGGGCAAAGATATTGAACACAGTTATAGATCCATTAGTTTGAAAGTGACTGTGATATATCCAAGTGAAGACATTCAGTAAGTAGTTAATTATATAAATAACTGAAGCTTAGGAAGAATTTTTGTTTATTTTTTGTTTTGTTTTGTTTTGTTTTGTTGCACTGGGATGCTTTAACCCAAGAGTGCTTTATCATTGAGTTACATCTTTTATTTTTCTTTTTTTTAAGATAGGGTCTTGCCATCAGGTATGGTGGCGCACACCAGTAATCCCAGCAGTTTGGGAGGCTGAGGCAGGAGGATCTCAAGTTCAAAGCCAGCCTCAACAACTTAGCAAGGCTCTAAGCAATTCAGTGAGACCCTGTCTCTAAATAAAATACAAAAAAAAAAAAAAGGACTACAGATGTGGCTCAATTTTTAATCCCTGGTACAAAATAATAATAATAATAATAATAATAGTATTATTAGTATTATTTAAGATAAGATTGGGTCTTGCCAAGTTGCTAAGGATGGCTTCAAACTTGCAACCCTCCTGCCTCAGCCTCCCAAGTTGCTGGATTATACGCATGGGCCACCATGCGTGGCACAGGGAAAATTCTTGAGAGTCATTAGATGTCAAAGGAAATTCTGTGGGAAATTCTAAGATCCACCTGAAATGGTAAAGCAAGTAGAAAGAGAAGAAGGCCTAGAACAGTGTCCTAAAAAAACACCAATTTAGAAGAAATGGGCAGAGAAGCTTGTGAAACAAATTAAGGAGAAGTAAACAGAAAACCACAAAATTATTCTATCACAGAAGCTATGGGGGGAAGGGATTTCAAAATATAAATGAAGGAAAAAAACACAAATCTGACCCTGGTCACCCATTGCCTTTGGGTAAAATTCAAGCTTTGTAACATGTCTGATAAAACTCCCTGAGCTGCCTCTTCACTTGGGTCTCTTCTCTCACCATTATCCCCACAGGTCGTCTTTAAAAAATAAAAAATAAAAACACTAGATTGGTATTCTCCTAGTCACAATGATTTTGATGTTTCTATGTCTTTGCATACTTTATGTACTCTGCTTTGGTGCTCTTCACCCTCCCAGCTCTATATCTAACTCCTATTCATCCTACAGAACCCAACTCAATTAGGAACTTTCTTATGTACAATAACAGCTTTCTGTGTAGCCACTTAACTTTTTAGAGGACAGAGAGTATGTCCCATTCATTTTTTTATCCCCAATACTTAACACAATATTGGCCTGACACATAGCAGGAGTTCTGATCATGACTTGTTGACTGAGAAAGATGATAGTACTGAAAGGGACATCGGGTTCAGGGAGAATTAATAGGGTTGTAATTTTGGTATGGGAGAAATTTAAGCATGTTCACAGAAAGAGAAATGTTGGAAGCTAGTGGCATTAGGCACTGGAGATAATAGGAAAGGAACAGGGGAAAGAGTCCCATAAGATGCCCCCCCCCATCACATCATCCAGCAGGAAGGAGCTTAAGTAGATGTGGCAGTAGATAAGGGTACAGATAAGAAAAGCAGAGCTCAGGACTGATGTGAGAGGCATCTCTTTGTCTCYGGAGATTAGTATAGCACCTGACACAGAGGAGTCACTCAGCAAATAGTTGTTAAATAAGTAAATAATGAGACCCAAGCAGAGAATTTTAACAAGGTAAAATAGTGTATGAACCTACAATAAAAAACCCAGGTCTCCTGATCTAGAGAGTCCCTATGTAGCTCAACCTGGGGTTAAGACAAAGGAGAAAGAAATAAGGTGTAGGATTCTTTCTGAGGCACACACACCCATTTTCTCCAGGGACCTCATTAAAGGTGTTTAGCTGGGAAGGTGTAAGCCTAAGCCCTGGGAGACAGGGCGGGTCGCTGGAGCTACACTGCCTCCACCCTTCAGTAACTGTTAGCCCTGATTGTGTTGCTAAGAGCAGAAGTCACAGCTAGAGCTCAAGGACAGCCTCTTCCACACAGTCAGGCAATAGCCCCCTCCTCCACAAGCCACCTACAGGCAGAGAGGCCCTGGATATTGCACAAGCCAGCACCAGGCTACAGAATCATGAGCCAAGACAGCAAAGTGAAGACTACAGAATCCAGCCCACCTGCCCCATCCAAAACCARGTAAGGAGTTCTGGTCCTTTGTGTCAGATCTATCCATCTCACTCCAAAGGAATCTCATTCCTCTTCGTAGCACCTATCAAATGTCTGCTGAACACTTGAGGCAGGATCTCTCTTTTTGCCCACAGGAAGAAGCTGCCTGTCTTGGATCCATCTGGGGATTACTACTACTGGTGGTTGAACACAATGGTCTTCCCAGTAATGTATAACCTCATCATCATCGTGTGCAGGTTTGGCAGGGGCGCTAAAACAGAGGCCTTAAGTAGGGATGAAGAAGAGCAGTGGGCATTTGGGCAGGGCCTAAGGAAGGGGCAGCACCCATTGTAGGGCCCAAGGCAGAATAGTATTTAGGGGCCCAGCTTGAACCGCCTTACTCAGCTTGGCCTTTAAGCCAATCCTCTGTCCTCCCTTTGCACCACCTCTCAGAGCCTGCTTTCCTGACTTGCAACATGGTTATCTATTGGCCTGGTTCGTGCTGGACTACACGAGTGACCTGCTCTACCTTCTAGACATCATAGTGCGCTTCCACACGGGTCAGTGAGCCCCTAGAACTGACCCTTGGTTTCATGTTCCCTTCCCAAAGAAAGCCCCTCATAGCAGAAAGAACAAGGTCCCCTCGGTGGTAGCACTTTCACATGTGTCTCTCTGTGCTTGACAATATCTCCTTGCTCACTCCAGAAAACCTGAAGAGGGTGATGCTCACCTCCACCCTGTCCCTGTGTTTGTGTCCCTGGCCTGCCCACCCTCACCTGTGGTTGATCTCAGTGCATCCCTTTCTTCCCACCCCTAGGATTCTTAGAACAGGGTATCCTGGTGGTTGACAAGGGTAGAATCGCGAGTCGCTATGTCCGCACCTGGAGCTTCCTGTTGGACCTGGCTTCACTCATCCCCACTGATGCTGTCTACGTGCAGCTGGGCCCACACATACCTACGCTGAGGCTCAACCGCTTTCTTCGTGTGCCTCGCCTTTTCGAGGCCTTCGACCGCACAGAGACCCGCACAGCTTACCCAAACGCCTTTCGCATCGCCAAGTTGATGCTTTACATTTTTGTCGTCATCCACTGGAACAGCTGTTTATACTTTGCACTATCCCGGTACCTGGGCTTTGGGCGTGACGCATGGGTGTACCCAGACCCAGCGCGGCCTGGTTTTGAACGTCTGCGGCGCCAGTATCTTTACAGCTTTTACTTCTCCACACTGATCCTGACAACCGTGGGCGATACACCACTGCCAGCCCGGGAAGAGGAGTACCTCTTCATGGTGGGCGATTTCCTGCTGGCCGTCATGGGTTTCGCCACCATCATGGGTAGCATGAGCTCTGTAATCTACAACATGAACACCGCAGATGCAGCTTTCTACCCAGATCACGCCCTGGTGAAGAAGTACATGAAGCTGCACCATGTCAACCGGCGGCTGGAGCGGCGAGTTATAGATTGGTGAGAATACCTAGGTTCCACACCAGTAGAGGGAGGAGTGTGCTAGCAGAACAGGGTTGGGGGTGGGGGCCACTCACTGACTGGTCTGAGAGGGTCTAAATTCGTCATTCATTAGTAAGTCTGCTGGAGGGCTTGGAAAGGAGTGTTCTCCACAGAGGGAATCTAACCTGGGGAGAGGGTGGGTAAGAGACTGATAGGAAGAGGAACTCATGCAAAAAGAAGGACAACATGGTAACCAGGGAATGGGAGCTGCCCACTGTCTGGTAGGGCTCAGAAGGCTCTAGAAAGAGTGAGTGGAGAAGGGCAACGCCACCCTCACCAGCAGAAAACCAACAAGATGATTAACTATATCATGGTATGTCATACTGTGTTCTAAACAAATATAAGTGCCACAAAATTGGTGAGTCAGAGAGAAGGCTCTCGGAGAAGATGGGAGCTTGGTGACTGAAGTAGCTATCAGTGGAGGAGATACTAAACATTGATCATGGGTGGGATGGAGTCTGACAGAAAGTGAACAGTATGGTACTCATTGTCAAGTGGTGGAGGCATCTGTACCTTGGGTGAGGTCAAAGAGACCAAAACACATCTATAACCAAGAAAGGATATTAGCCAACTATCAGGTTCTTCCATGACCTTTGCAAGACCTGAGTGTGGTTGAGATCTTGGCTGATCTAAGCCCTAATGGAAGGGGAAGAGACAGGCTGGTGAGGAAATGGCACTACCCTTTCTCCCAGGTACCAGCACCTGCAGATCAACAAGAAGATGACCAATGAGGTAGCCATCTTACAGCATTTGCCTGAGCGGCTGCGAGCAGAAGTGGCTGTGTCCGTACACCTGTCTACTCTGAGCCGGGTACAGATCTTCCAGAACTGTGAGGCCAGCTTGCTGGAGGAACTTGTGCTAAAGCTGCAACCGCAGACCTACTCACCAGGCGAATATGTATGCCGCAAGGGGGACATTGGCAGAGAGATGTACATCATTCGCGAGGGTCAACTGGCTGTCGTGGCAGATGATGGTGTCACACAGTATGCTGTGCTTGGTGCAGGGCTTTACTTTGGGGAGATCAGTATCATCAACATCAAAGGTGGGTACCCCAGCATTTTTTCCAGGAACAGAGTTGGGAAAAGAATGGGATAGCAGAACTCTGTGCTGGAGCAAGATGGTACTTCAGGGCACATTTAGATGAAGGAAACTTCACCCCTTCCTGAGTCACTACAGGGCTCAGAAGAGAAGCTGGACACTGAGAAGAAACTGAGCCTAGGTCAATTGGCAGGGTGGGTCCTTAGAAGGGAGAGTAAGCATACTTTATGGGTACTGACTGAGGCACCAACAGACCATTGGAAAATGATGGAGGTAATAGTAATAATGATGTTTATCTCATACTTACTACATCCCCTGCTCTAAGTGTTTATCATGCATCAATTCAAATTCTCACACAGCTATATAAGGTAGGAACTGATCTTCTCTCATTTTGAAGATAAGGAAATTGAAGCTTAGAGAAGTTTGGTAATTTGCCCATCTCTCTATTCTTGCTCCTCCTTCTGGTTAGATTGCTCTCCTCCCACTCAATTTCCTATTTCCCCTAATTACCTCCTACCCAGTTCAGGCATTTCTTCCTCCAGGCTTCCTTAAATTATCTGCCTTACAGCTTGACAAGGGCTCTTTGCCTGTCTTCCCATAGTACCTAGTGCATATGTCTACACTGCACCAACCATACTGTTATATAACTATCCCATTAAATGTCTTTCTCCTCTAGATCATGAATTTTTGAGGCATGTCACTGATACCCAACCAGCACAGAGTTTGGTCCCCAGGACGTTATTGAAAGAAAGAATTAGGCAGAATTGGAGGGGGGAATCCTAGTTCAGGAGTGAAATGGTACCTTCCCACATCCCTGCTAACTATCCTCCCTTCTGTCCACCCACGGGCCACAGGGAACATGTCTGGAAACCGTCGCACAGCCAACATTAAGAGCCTCGGTTATTCAGACCTATTCTGTCTCAGCAAGGAGGACCTCCGAGAGGTGTTGAGTGAGTATCCACAAGCCCAGGCTGTCATGGAGGAGAAGGGCCGTGAGATCCTGCTGAAACTGAATAAGTTGGATGTAAATGCTGAGGCAGCTGAGATTGCCCTACAGGAAGCCACAGAGTCCCGGCTGAGAAACCTTGATCAACAGCTTGATGATCTACAGACCAAGTTTGCTCGCCTACTGGCTGAGCTGGAATCCAGTGCACTCAAGATTGCTTACCGTATTGAACGGCTGGAGTGGCAGACCAGAGAGTGGCCAATGCCTGAGGACTTGACTGAGGCTGATGATGAAGGCGAGCCTGGGGAAGGAACTTCCAAGGACAGAGGGGGAAGGGCCAGCCAGGAGAGACCCTCAGGACCAGAATGATTCCATCTCTGTCCCCTGGATACCCACCTTCCAAATGAATTCAGAATTGTAGGAAAGCCTGCCTGCAAAAACAGCCATCTTATTTGCTAGTTCACAGAGACGGGAGTGAATTAATTTGTAGATGCCCAGCTAGAGATGTAGGGTATAACACACATTCATCCCCCAACTCAGCAGCATATGCGTGCGCACGCTGGCCCAATATTATATATTCCATAGAATATGCTCTAGAGTTCCCATTCTCAGAGCACACAATGCTTTTTCATAAGCATAAATATAAGTTATATCACATCACATAAGCACATTCAGTCATGTAGCCCCTGAACATATGCTGACAGTCATACACCAACAGATACAGAGATACCGCATACAGATGTGTACATTGCTTGTGAAAACATAAAAGTGCACTCAGAGCCTTGGTGTTCCAAGATGTCCTTTGAATGCTCCCCATATGGGTGGTTAGCAAATGTACCCTGCAAATTGCACTTCAATAAAGTATTTGCCTCCTCATAAGCATTTATGGGACTAAAAGTAAAAGGCAAAGCCAGTGGTGGGCCAGGATGAATTCTGTCTGAATTCTGAGTCACAGGGGTGAGGAGCACAGGTGTGTTCAAAAAAGTTGGCGTACTAAAAGAATAGAGAGTACTGAGGTAAAGAAAAGTCATCTTATACATGACATCACTAACAAGTGTGCACATGCTTTCATAGATATATTCATATCATATGCTGGTGTTGCATTCCACACCATAGTGTATGTCCTCAACTCTGAGCTCTAAGGGGTTTGATCTAGTTTAGTGAACCAGACCGTATAACTCTGTTTTTTCCTTCTTCTGGACCAATCCTTGAATCTGGAGCCATGTCTTCCCTGTGTTCAGGACTGTTTCCAAGGGAGAAATAGTTCCCAGTACCTGTCCCTGGCTGTTCCCTATCCAACTAGTTGTTGGAGCTGGCCTTGGTGCCGGCAGAAATCCAACCCTCCTACATTGCATGGTATTCACAAATATAGGATAGAGAGTAGAGACTAGGTGGAGTGGAACATCATTGGGAAAATTAGACATGAGTGTGTTGGGAGTTTTGGAGTAACTTGGTGTGCTTGGAAGAAGGGCTGCTGGTTTGGGGCTGGAAAGGCATTGAGTCTACASAGAAGTCTGATATCAGAAGTCTGATATCATTCACCCTGGCTCACCACTTCAGCTCCTCCAGGATAGGCCAGTCTTCAGATCTGAGCTATGCCAGAAGATATATTAAAATGAATCTGGGGCTTGACTTATAGGTATAACTGAGCAGTAAATTTCTACTATCATGAGAGATTATTAGGGTCATTGTACTTCAAATCATTTAAAAATATGCAGGAAAAAAAATATGCAGGTATTTTGTGATTTTCTTCACAAAATACTAAAATTCATAAGTCTGGCCCTAGGTCTGTCTTGTTTATCTCTGTATTCCCAAGGCCCAAACCATGCCTGGCATATAAGTACACAAATATTTGCTAGTCAAAGTGAAGAGAATTGAAGCACATAGAGTCCAAAATTAGAAGAAGGTGTGTGTCAGTTTCTTAGGAGGTTTTAATATTTTTCCATATTTTTTATTGGTGCATTATAGTTGAATGTATTGATGGAATTTTGTTACATATTTTTACATGCACAAAATATAATAATATAATTTGGCCAATATCACTCTCCAGCACTTCCCCCTCCTCCCCTTACTTCTACCCCCGGTCCCTTTCCTCTACTGATCTCCTTTTGATTTTCTTGAGATCCTTGACCCTGTTTTAGTCAGCTTTTTCACTGCTGTGACCAGAAAACCTTACAAGAACAATTTTAAGGAGGAAAAGTTTATGTGGGGGCTCAAGGTTTCCGAGGTCTCAGTCCGTAGATGGCTGGCTCCATTGCTGTAGGCCTGAGATGAAGCAGAACATCATGGCAGAAGAGTGTGGTGGAGGAAATCAGGTTAGGACATGACCACCAAGAAGCAGAGAGAGAGCTCTACTCAACAAGGACAAAATATATATCCCAAAGGCACACCCCCAGCAACATCTCCTCCAGTCACACCCTACCTACCTATTGTTTCTACCTAGTTATTCCCTATCGGGGGATGAATGCACTAATTACATTAAGATTCTTGTAACCCAAATCATTTTTCCTCTAAACTTTCTTGTATCATTTCACACGTGAGCTTTTGTCTAAACCATACCCTCACCGGGCCCGCATCTATCTTTTCTTTTTTTCTTCTCTAGTTTCCATATATGAGAGAAAACATAACCTCTGACCTTCTTTCAAGAGGGTTTTCTACCATCTCTGTCCTCAAATCATGTAGAAGTGGAATGGGTGGGTATATAGTAAAGACCATATTGGTGGTACCAGATGGATTAGGGAACTCAGAGTAAGCTTTTTGTAGACACAATACAATGTACAGGGTCTATTAGAACAAGTGATCACTCCCACCCTATAGAATCCTGGTCTGTAGTAGAGTAGGGGTGATAACTGACTACTTGGCATAATTTGGATGCAAAAGCAAAATTCTTCCAGAGTCAGATATGTATTTTGCTCTGCCTCTGCTATTCCAGATGAGGGGATCAGTTTCTTGTTTCTTTTTTATTATTATTATTATTTTAAAAAAGAATTTTTTTTATAGATGGACACAATATCTTTATTTGATTTATTCATTTTTCATGTGATGCTGAGTATCAGACCCAGTGCCTCACATGTACAAGGCAAGTGCTCTGCCACTGAGCCACAACCCCAGCCCTCTTTTTTTATTATTCATTTTCTTTTTCTTTTTTGGTACCCAAGATTGAATCCAGGGTGCTTAACCACTGAGCCACTTCCCCAGTCTTTTTGATTTTTTATTTTGAGACAGAGTCTCACCAAGTTGCTGAAACTGAACTAGTGATCCTCCTCCCTCAGCCTCTCAAGTTGCTGGGATTACAGATATGCACTACCACATCTGTCAAGATCAGATTCTCCATAGTGGAATCACTATGCCTAAGACATCTTAAATGTCAGCAATTCCATACTAGAGTCATCCAGTCAAGGAATAGTTTCCATCACCTTGTTAAAGACAATATTTGGGGAATCAAGCTGGATAAAGTAAGCTCAGGGTGGGCCGAAGTGAACAAAATCTTATGTTCCTGAAATAACAAAATAATAAATATTTTCTGGTCTAAAGAATATTAATGTGTATCATACACTAGGCTAAGTACTTATATATGTAGCAAGAAATTTTTATTGAAATAGTCATTTTGGGCTTTGAATATTTTATACCTCCACCTATCAAAGAAATTACCTAAATCTTTATATCTCTAAACTTAAAAAGTTTTTTTTTTTTTTTTGGTATGGGAAGGTCCAAGACAGAAATTGTCAGAAACTCTGTCTTAGACTGTTTTATGACTAGGGATCCTAGGTTTTGACAAACAATTCACTTAGAGGTAAATTGTTGACAGTCTGAAAGGGGTTAGAGTTGAAGAAATGGAAGCTTCTGGGCCTAAATAGGGAAATTTGCCAAGACTAAGAAAAGAAATGGGGGTCAGGCATGGTGGTACATACCTGTAATCCCACTATTCTGAAGACTGAGGCAGAAAGATCCAAGTTTGAGTCCAGCCTCCGTAAATTTGGGACCCTGTCTCAAAATAAAAATTTAAACAACTAGTGATATAGCTCAATGGTAGAGAACTCCTGCATTCATTTTCCAATACTTCAAAAGAAGAAGAAGGAAAAGATGGAGAAGAGGAGAAAAGAAATGGGATTCTTAAAGATAATATTAGGCTTTTTTCTGTTGTAACATATTATACAAATTTAATACCACCCATTTATTATCTTGCTATTCTGAGTCAGAAAATCAGGCTTTGCTAAGAGTCTCCCAAGACCGAAATCAAGGTGTCAGCTGAGTTGAGCCCTTAACTGGAGGCTCTGTGGAACAATCTGCTTTAAGCTCATTCAGACTGTTGGCAGAATTCAGAACCTTTTGATTGTGTCCTTGATACAAGTCCCCTTCATCTTCAAGACAACAAAGGCATATTAAATCTTTCTCATTTTTTTCACTTCTCCTTTTAGTACAAGAGAAAGATCTTTAGGGTTCATCTGATTAGTTTAGGTCTATCTGAATAAGCCAAGATAATCTCCCCATTTTAAGGCCAGCTGATTATTATCCTCAATTACATCTGCAAATTCCCTTTTGCCATATTCACAAGAATAACACCAGAAGGCAAAGATAATAGAGCCAAAATTGTGTATCACAGAGTCTCTGGGGAGAAAAGCAGCCTGGAATCCACTTCCACAGAGGAACCAGAATAGGGAACACTTAGAGTTAAGACTTTGGAAATTGGAGAATGGTCATTATGGCGGAGTAGACACTGGAATCTCAGAGCATGTGCCCTAAGGGTGTGCAGGCTTGAACAAGACCCATACCAGCATAATCAGCATGGTCTGAAGACCAAAGGCCTGTTCCAGGCCTGTGTAACATAAAACACCCAGAGATGTTTACAAGCCCCTAACTAGGGAAAGAGAGAACAGAAAGAATACCACAAAACACATCTGAGATCAAATCCCCCATAAGGTAGGTGGTTAAAAGCTTAAATGCAAATTGCCTGATTTAGAGAATCAAGGAAATGTATATTTTTATAACTGTCATTGAATCATTCTAAAGTGCTGTACATACATTATCTTATTTTGTCATTATAACAATATTAGGAAATTTAAGTTATTATTATGTTCATTTTTCCTGATCAGGAAACTGAAGCCCACAAAGCAACTAAAAATGTTAGATTTGATTTGTTGAGGAGTTACTTATGCTAGGTCCTAGGCCAATTAATTGTTTCAATTAATCCTTAAAACGATATGAGAAAGAGGCCACTATCATCTCATTTTGAAGCTCTGGAACTAGCTTTCCTACTCTCACAGGGCTCCTAAGTCACATGGAATGAAATCCAGGTTTGTCATACTTTTTCTCATGGGGAGATAAGAAAGGGACTTCCTGAACTAGGCAAGCTCCTTGCTTCCTGGGGAATGAAGGTTATAGGACGTAACTGTGGTAACAGGGGAGAAGGATCCAGTTGTGAAAAGGAAAGCTTG